CTTGAAGTTGAACATCAAAAACGTTTTTCTGCAAGAAATTTTATTGAGATATCATGCAGTCTTATAGCTAGTACAGGTGCTTCTCTTCAACTTATAAAAATGGATGAAAGCCGAGGTATTATAGAAAATTGCAAAAGGATCTGTAATAAGGTTAGAGTTGAAGCATTAGTTATAAAGGAATCTGATTTTGATGCGGTTGCTACTTCCCAGAATCTCAGTCCTGAAGAAGCCAAAATTCATAAGTTTGATCAAGAACGCTCTATTCCAGATACTATGGCTCTTAAACGTTTCTATATGCGGAATCTTTATGATAAAGACATGAATATAGAAGATTGGAATAATCTATGTAATAAAAAATTTGTAAAATGTTTCAGTCTGCCTAAACCTCGAAAACATTTCTTGCGATTATCTCACTTCTGAAAGTAAGGCTGCATCGAAGATAGTGCAATAGAAGGTTTAGTTGCTAAAGATTTGTACAATGGGAGGTTACCTGTTATAAAGCTGAAGAGAATTTAGAAAAATCAATAGTAGAGGACTTATGTAAAACTTATTCAGCTAATCATTGGAAAGTTATAAAAGAACTCTTTAAGATATTGGGTTTTACTGGTATTAATGATAAGCGTGTTCTTCCTGGCAATATTATATCAGAAGCATTCATACAATCCTGTAAAAGGTTTATAGAAATCTGAAATCAATCCTTACTGCTCTTTGGTTTTAAATCTCATGCTAAAACAACACCAGATCTTAATTCGACTATAAAGATAATCAATGCAATCGCTAGTAATTAGTGTGGCTATACTATTAAAAGTGATAAAAAAAGAATAGGGCCTAAAGGAAAACAAGTTTGGCAATATTCATACAAAATTAATCGCCAGTCATATAACGGTACTGTTTTGGAGATAAAGATGCTCCAGAGCTTCCACTATATAAGCTAAAAACAGATAACGAGATTCAGGAACTCTTTGATTCTATAGAGCAGGAAAATAGTACTTCAACCTATTATTCAATATTTCAGCTAGGTGTCTCGACCCATATCTGATTCCATTTTATTTTTTTTACCCTCACGATAGGCATTCTTATAAATTCCACTATGTGTGTTACAGATTCCAAGTATCGGAATAGGTTTGCTTATCACAGACAGGGCATATTATTTTAGATCGGGTTTTATAATGTATGGTACATCCTGAAGCACGTCAGCATCCTTTCCCACAAATCGAACCATCTTTCTTGATGTATTGACAAGATAAACGATTCATATAAGGTAATTTTAATATTAATAATCTTAAAACTTCATCTTCACTTTTATTATAAATATTCAAAATTGCTTTGCTTTAGCGTTGCCCAGGATTAAGGAATTTTTTTGAATTGAAAAATAAATAGATTAGTATAACTAGGTAATAATTGCAATCTACTTATCATTGGTATGTTTACTAAAGCAACTGCTTCAAAGACCCGAAAGCCCAAGACTAATAACTTTGTTTGATTTTAGAACAGTTCCTAGAAAAGTATAATTTGTCAGCTGACTTCTCTCTAGAATAATTAAGAGAACATGCTCCAGAACTTAATGTTCAATTGCATAATTGGAAGGTTAGCAAGTGTGTTAAAGATCTTCTTGCCAGACGCACTGATAAAAGACACACATTTAGCAAAGAGCAGATAGGTGTTCTTGTGTCAGACAAAAGAAAGGAAAAGCTCACCATTAAAGAAAGAGCTTTCTATTATGCTAAAACTGGTGATAAGTGGGATATTTATATCAATGCTCTTGATTTAGGTCCAAAAAGTAATAATGATAAAGAAATTGTTGCTTTCTATTCACGGCTCTCACTATTTCATATCGAATTGGCAAAAGCTGGTATTGCTCAAGAACTTATTGATACTTATGCCAAAGATCCGGATGTCACTACAGCTTCTAATAAAATTCAGAAAGAACGGACTAAGCAAAATTTAGCCGATAATCGATCAAAAACTCCACTATATTTCTCCTTAGCAAATGTGCGTAAAAGGATTCAGAATATGGATATTTCTAAAATTCCTACTCAAGAGAATCTCGCAGATGTAATAGTGATGTTGAGTATGAGACCTGCGAAAGTAAGATCTTTTTAGATCAGTCATTATGAAGTTGATCCCTCAAATCCTTTAGCATAGTATGTAAACGGTTTTTCCTGGTATTGTATTGGATATGTTAAGAATAAAGGAAAATATAAAGATAATCCAGAGTCTCGTCTATTTGTTTCTATGGAGAAGGATCCAGAATATGCAAGAATACTACTCATCTGGATTCAAGAAGCTATAAAAGCTAGAAGGTTGAGTGATCCCACTTTTAGTGAAAATGGAAAGCGTAATATTAGGGCAATTAGAAAATTCCTGAAGTCTCATAAAATCGAGCCTAAAATATTAAGAAAAATAGAAGGTAAGCATGCTTCCAGAGTTCATGGCGGTTCAAAGCCAACTCACCAGCAACTTGATCTTCTCTGTAGAAGAGCATTGAGGCATAAGATTATATATCATGATGTAGGAAAGAATTATGCTATAGATGATACAGAATCAGAAGACTCCAGTCCTGAATCTGACCATAAATCTGATCATGAATCTGCTCTTGAGGCAAATGGTTCAAAACCCCAAACACAGGTTTCTTTGCCAGCGTCCCAACCTGATTCTCAAAAGTCTCAGACAATAGAAATGGATTCCATGTTAACTAAAATTAATGCAATGTTAGCTGAAATTCAGAAATAAATTCCTTTCTTGTGCCTTTGGTACTGTGGAAGATAAGCTGTTTGGTGAAATTTTTTTTGGCAAATTTCAGCGAATAATATTTGCCCAAAATCACGTGTCCGTTTTAATTTAGAATGCAGATCTTTGATCGAAGGAGGTGATCGTGTAATTTTATTTTTTTGTTTGAAGATACAACATATAATATAGACTATTTATGGCATATACAAGTGTTTTTAATATAGCAGAATTATTAGAACAGATTTTACATTTCTTAGCAATAGATAAATCTTTCTATCCCACTCTATATATTTTCCGATTGTGGTATAAATGTGGTGCACCTATTCTGTGGAAGCATATTGAGCTAAAGGGAAAAGACTTATATCCTGGGCAATCTCTTCCAAATGATTATAATTACTAGGGTTCCTCAAATTCGAATCGAATCAAATATTTAAGCAATTTGAATTTGATTTGATTTTTTCAAATTGAATTGAATTGAATTGAATTGAA